AATTATTATTGTCCCTGATCAGTAGTCTCCCACTGGTTAATCTGTTGGTTTTCTTCAGTGAATCTTAGATCCCACCCAATGTTTTGTTTAAAATATTACTTTCCTTAAAAACATATTGTGATCTCATGGGTAAGTCATTATTAAAAATTACTCTGAGAATTGGGTGTGGTAGTACACTTGCCTGCTATCCTAGGGCACAGGAAAGCTAAGGCAGGAAAATCAAAAGTTCAAGGTCAGGGGCTAGGGAGCTGGTCCACTGGGTAAGAGGGCTGCATAAACATAAAGACCTGAGTTCGAGTCTCCAACACCCACATTAAATAAACAAATGAACTTGGAACAGTCGCAAGGGCCTGTATAGCATGTTTGTGTGTATATGTGACTGGGAGTTGGGAGTGGGTGGTGAGTAGCAGCGGCAGGAAGATTGCTAGGGCTTGCTAGCCAGCTGGCCTACCCAATCAACAGTGAGTTCCAGGGGCAGTGAGAAACCTTGTCTCAAGGGAATAGAACAGAAAGTGGTAGAGCCCCCAACATCCTCCTTAATCTTGACATGCATGTGTCTGGACACCACATGTGCATACACCACACACACACACACACACACACACACACACACACACACAGCCAGCCTAGATGATATAGTGCCTTTTGTTGATCCCTTCCCTGATGTTATGTTAGAGACTAGAATGACAAGCCAGAAGCCAGACTTGCAATGCAGGGAAGCTGACTCACTGCAGCGAGGGCGAACATGGGGTGCTGGCCTGGCTCACACTGAGAGCGACTCTCTGGGTGTGATTCCACGGCTGCAGGACAGAAAGCATGATGAGCCGTGTCGGTAGACTCACGAGCGTTTCGAACATGCTCATGGGAGCGATACCATGCGTGTGCCTTTCTCACTGATCGTGTGGACCCACGCCTACTCAATGCCAGCAGCATTTGATGAATGAGGATTGCGTGCACGTGGAGATTCCATGTCAGATTCAGGCATGTGAGCCTCACCTAGAGATGAAAAGGACTGTGACGTACCAGAGCCTCTCCCAGGGCAGCGCTCAGTAGCTCTGACTGGGACTTCTAACTATAACAAGTTCTAAGGAACCCCAAGGTCTGAGGATTGACCTACATGTATCTGTTGCCCAGGAAGCCAACACACTCAAAAGCACAGTGCTTCTATATGGCCCTTGACTTGCTGATCTCAATCCATTCGACTGGAAACTTCATGAGGCAAACATCACTTCTAGAATGTTCATCATTTTATACTCTCAGCACAGTGTTAAAAATAAAAGGGTTTTCTAGATGACATTGGCTTGACCTGAGTCCGTACCAAATGACACGGCCCTTTCCTGACACGCAACAATACAAAAATACCTTCTGGTGATCTACCTTAACTCCATATGATAATCTAAAATGAAAACTCCCGGTTATCAGTCAGAGCCAAACACTGGTTACCTCAGCTATGTAGTTCCTATAATGAAATCTAAGTTATTTCGGTCCTTTCACAAATAAAGCTAAAAATTATAAGAAATATATATCGAAAACATCTTTAAAACTATTAAAATTCTGAGATAATAATATAAAATTATTGATCATCAGAGAGCAACTTGGGCAGGAGAAGCACTTAGCAGTTAGAATATATTCTGCTCTTGGGGAAGCCCTAAGTTTTGGTTCCCAGCACCCACTTCAGGGGGCTCACAAGTGCTGGAATTCCTGGCTTCAGGGGGTCTCAAACACATACACGTAGTTAAAAATAAAATCTAAAAAAAGGAAAACTAGAGTCATAAAAACACTGAATCATAAAAACATTGCGTGACGGTATTTGCCAATCTCCCCCAGCCTTGAGCTTTGCAATGACCTTCTGAAGATAAGGAGTCAGAAATATACACACAATAAATAAATGAATGAAATAAAAGCCCAAGAGAAATCAAGTGAGACATCTAGAAAGTGAGAGAAAAGACTAGAATTCTCCTGTGAGAATAAAGTATAACAATTCAGAGATGTGGGCTTGAAGTTGTCCTCCAAGCTCAAGGTAAAACAAGAGCGGGGGAACGCACCTCCACCAAGGGAGATATGCTGTGGATACCTGCAACCCGGCTGAGCGGTCAGGATGGAAGGAGGTGGGCAGGACCCAGGCTTTGCTACGAGCAGCTGTTATTAGTGTGGCTTTGCTCATGGCCCAGTGTGCTCATTATAGCAATTCACACTTACAGATGAAACACATATCAGGAAGCTTCTTTACACTCTATGACTATGCCAACTTTGTAACCAGCAGCTCACACCCGCCTGTTGCACCAGCTCCAGGGGATCTGAAGCCTCCTCTGACCTCCAAGAGCACCCACAGCCATGCATACACTCATTCTCTCCCTCACACACACAAGCGCACATAGATAGAAATAAAAAATACATCTTAAAAAGAATAGTTCCCTAAAGGTCTTAGCATCTTTGAACCATACATCAACTACCAAAACAGTGATGTCACTATATGAAAAGAGAAGCTATTTTTTTTTCAAGACAGGGGTTTCCTGGAACTAGCTCTTGTAGACCAGGCTGGTCCAAAACCACAGAGAAACCCTGTCTCGAAAAAAGAAAAAAAAAAAAGATATCAAGACAGGGGTTTCTCTAACAGTCCTGTCTGTTCTAGAACTCTCTTTGTGAACCAGGCTGGCCTCCAATTCACAGAGATCCACCTGCCTCTGCCTTTCGAGTGCTGGGACTGAAGATGTGCCCCTACGCCTGGTGAAAAGGAAAGCTTAATAACAATAGGAAGGGTTCCTGAGACTGAGAACTACAGACACAATGACAAAATGATTCTCAGGAGGCAGGAGCAGGTGGATCTCTGAGTTCAAGGCCAACCTGGCCTACAGACAAGACATCCAGGGCTACACAGAGAAACCCTCCATTAAAAATCAACAAGAAAGAAAGAAAGAAAGAAAGAAAGAAAGAGAAAATAACAAAAGGAAACAAAAGCCAAGAGCTGCTAGGAAATGCTCTCATGACACCATGGTTGAGGGTCTTAGGAGGCAGCAGCCACAGTTGAGAAGCTGTTGTGGTCTGCACAGGGCTGGACATTTCGCTGTGTTAACTGTCTGGCAAGCAGGTGGGCATCTCTACATTGGCAGTCTGCAGGAACCACGAGTCTAGGCTCAAAACATCAGAAGCAAGTCACCAAGGTGGCTGTAATTCCAAACGTTCTGATGACTCTGTGACAGGAACACCCACTGAAAGATGACTAAGCATCTGTCCCATGGCAGCTCATAGACAATCTTCAGTTCAGCACAGGTGACCCAAGGCCCAGTTACATTGAACTTGATCCTTCCTATTGCCTGTCTTGGCTCTGGGCTTACCTTCCTTGGCATATTTTAGATAGAGGTTCCTTACTTTCTCAGTACCATCTACTTTCTGTCTTTCTGAAAATGACTTAATTGCAGGCCTTCCAATAATACTTCTCTAAAGGATCTTTAAAAGATTTTATTTGTGTGTGTGGGTATTTTGCCCGCATGCATGTATGTGTACTGCACACATGCCTAGTAGCCTTGAAGACCAGAAGATCCCCTGGGATTGGAGTTACAAACTGTTCTGAGCCACACTATGGGTGCTGGCACTGAACCCAGGTCCTCTGCAAGAGCAGCAAGTGCTTGTAAACACTGAATCATCTCTCCAGCCTTGAGTAGAATTTTTAAATTCTACTTCCTGCATTCTGTCTTAGAGGTCTAAGGTCAAAAGGGAGGTAGATCTGTGATCTCCACGCTATACCACCATTCTTCTGCTTTTTTCCCCCAAGACAGGGCCTTGTTATGTAGCCAAGGTTAGCTTTGAACTTATGGCAGTCCTGTGTCAGTCTCGTGAGTGCTCAGATTATAGGCACGCACCACCAAGCTAGCTCCGCTTTATATATTACTTCTTCTGTGAGTCTGACGAATAAGAACTCTCCGGAGAGAGCTGGGACATGTCTCAGAGTTTGCTGCGTGAGCACAGGACGTGAGTTCATTCCCCAGCACGTTTGCATGAAACTAGGTGTGGTAGCACACGCCTACAAGCTCAGCACTGGGGAAGTAGAGACAGGTGGGGCTCACTGGCCGGCCAGCCTAGTCTAACTGGCAAACTCTAGGCCAGTGGCTCCCAGCCTGGCCCACAGGGGTAGCATATCAGATATTTACATTACAATTCCTAACAACAGCAAAATTACAATTATGAAGTAACAACAAAAAACATGTTATGGCTGGGATCACCACAGCACGAGGAACTGTATAAAAGGGTCATAGCATTAGGAAGGTTGGGAACCAAACTCTAGGCCAATGAAAGACCCTATCTCAAAAAACAAGGGGATAGCAGTTGAAGAACAGTACCTAAGGTTGACTCTGACCCATACACACGTACACACATATGCATGCATACCTACACATAGACCTGTGCATGCCCTAGCACACACACATCTTCGGACACTAGCCACAGAAAATGTATTTTTGAATGTACAAGGTGGGAAGTGAACAGTTCTATTAGTGAAAACACCAGCTTAGAACCTCAGCTCTTGGCAAGTAACTTAATGGCTCGGTCTTAGTTCCTCCGTCTGTGAAGTGGCCATCTGAACAATCCCTATGTGTACTTCCATGAGGGCTGTGAAGAACGCATGGTAACAACAGATGCTACAAGTAAGAAAGACGGGATATCACTGCTGACATATGGCCCCTGGTCACACAGATACGAGTTTTAATTTTCTCAGGAAACTTGGCCTGGAAGACATCAGTTTAAAAAGTCTCATTTAGGGACTTCCTATCTGCAATGCAGTGTGAATGCCACAGTGGCAGAGAGGGGTGCTGTGTCAAAACTACACACGGCTTCTCTATATGAGCAGTAAGTGAAGTCAGGGGACATAGTGGTCACAGATGCAGAATGAGGAACTGGGTGACGAGACCATAAATCGCTGTGTGAATCAGGATGTTTTTGACATCACGAGGCCCTCCCTGAGCCTTGGTTCAGGAACCAGGGTCACACTGTTTCCTGTCACTTACCTCTTAGCTGCTGGAGCTCCAGGCTCAGACTCTGAATGGTGCTCTCATAGAACTTGAGATTCTCCAAAGTCTCTGCCCTCAGAGATTCATCCTGCTTGTCCTCCAACATCAAGGTCAGCTCCTCCTGAGCCCTGGTGTACATGTCCAAGTCGTGTTCCATGTCCTGAATCCTCACCAGCACAGAGGGGCATGGAGAAGTCTGGGCTGGGCTCTGCTCCACGTGCTCAGGGCCCTCCTTCTCTGGGGCCTCCCAACTGGCACAGAAGGTGGGCTTGGGGGAGGCTGAGTTCATCCTCTGCTGCGCAGAAGGAGGCAGGGGAGCTGGGCGGGAGGGCCGCACAGCCAAAATGGGTGCAGGTTTGGAGCTCTGATCAACCAGCAAGTGGGAGGAAGTGGGCGTCGGGGTACAGGGTCTGGGTGGGGGCGGCCTCAGGGCCTTTCTCTTCTCTGGGGGATCCTGTGATGGCGCCGACTTTGAGGAACCTCTGACAATATCCTTCTCAGAGTTAAAATTCATGATTGAAAAGCGGCGGACGATTTTATCTGACTCTGTTCTGGGCTCGGACAGGCTCTTCTCAAACTCGATCAGCTGCTGGGTCAACTTGGAATCCAGGTCAATGCTGTCCCCCTGTGATGCTGTGGTTACTTCTGTGGCGGACCCCTTGTCTGGTGGCTCAGGCCTCCTCTCTGGTCTCTCTGGTGCGGAATAGAGGCTGAAGGCATTTTCTGCAGATGGTTGATGCTTCTGAGCACAGCTGGCTAGAGCCCGAGGGCTTAAGTAGCTAGGTTTGGCTATCCTAGAGGCCACGAGGGAGGAGGCCCTGTGGAGTGGGGGTGCTGGCTTCTGGAGGGACCTACCCTGGGCATATGTTCTTTGGGGAGGCAGGCTAGAGTAGTCCCTAGTCCTGGCTTCAGGAGGGACAAACTCAGAGAATGGGTCTGAGCTCTGGCGGCTCTCTCCTGCTGGAGAAGAAAACTGACTTTTCTGCATTTGGGGGTGAAAAGGTCCCCGAGGCTGGGAATAAATGCCATTGACTATCTCTGAGGGGTCAGGTGTGGAAGGGTCTTTAATAAGAGGCCTATCAAGATCCACACCTGGGCAGCTTCCTGAGGCATCATCACCCTGGCCAGAGTTCTTATTTACAACACCTGCAGGGACCCCATGACCTAGGCGAGCAGGGGTTTGTTCAGACAGACCCCAGTCAGGCCTGTCTGCTCCTGTCTCCTGTGGTTCGAGTCGTGCCTCCTCCACCACTGAGGTCTCCAACCCGTCCACAGGGTTTTCAGAGTTCTTAGGGAGACTGTCTTCCGGGGGCAGAACCACGGTTTCCTCTGTCCTGGTGCCAGGACAAAGCTTCACAAAGCGGTGGGGAAAGATACCTGTCCTGCCCTTCAAACGTCCTTCAAGCCATCCATCCTCCAAGGTTCCCAGAATCTGGATTTTATCCCCAACCTCGAAATCCAACTCATTGGGCTCCAGGGCTTGGAATCTGTAGAGGGCAAGTCCATAGGTCCCCGAAGGGTGGTCATCCTCGTCAGCCCCACTTTCTGTTTCTTCCGTAGAGATGTCCACATCACCATTAGCGAGGCAGCTGTCTCCACCTCCAGAATTTACCGACTCATCCACAGTCCTCAGGGGCCCCAAAAGCTCTACAAAGCCTTCTGGGAAAATGCCTCTCCGCCCCTCCAGCTCTCCCTCAAACCAGCCTGGCTCAGGAACTCCGATAATGGTAATCAAATCTCCTTCCCTGAAGTCCAGTTCCTCATCCAGCTGGGCAGACAGCCCCATGAGTGCCCGTGCTTGTCCCATGGAGTATTCTGGAATCTGAAGCGATGCACTCTGTGAGTGCCACTGTCGGCTCTGCGAGGACAGACACAGCTCACGAACACAGGACGATGGGAAGAAGCCCCGGGCACCCCAACAGCTTCGGCCCTGCAGCCATCCTGTAGTCGGAGCACCATCGAGAACCACCAGGTCTCCTAGGAAAGAAGCAGAAGTCAGAGCTTTGACCAGAACCCCAGGGAATAACACTATGGCCAACAGACAGGACTATACTGTGCAGCCCAGGCTTCCACTACAGTTCTCATGCCTCGGCCTGAGCTAGGCTTGCATGTATGCCCATGAAAATGTTCTCCTCCTACCATGTGAGGCCTGAAGACAGAATTAGGAGGTTGGGCTTGGCAGGAAGTACCTTCACCTGCTCAGCCACCTCGCTGGCCCTATAGATCTTAAAAAGAATTCCAGGGACCTGCTCTTTTGTTGCCGCAAATAACCAGGACTTCGGGTTATCGTCACAAAATATAAACCAAAAAGTCACATTGGTCTTAGTGTTTAGATTCAGCACAGTTTAAAAACACATTCCATAGTTCCATAACCAATTGCTTTATAACAAATGCTTGATTATGTAATTATGGATATTCATTTTGTGGATTACTAATTTTAATCTTGCTTTTAGCTCCCCCCACCCAGGTCTGTGCAGGGGTCCCACTCTCCTGAGCAGAGCCGCTTGAGGGATACAGAACGGGGGCAAATAGTAAGAAGAGACAGCAGCGCATGGTTTCCAGGCAAATGCATTGGAGAAGGGCTATCTATTATGTTCTTGATTACTTTTATTTTGTATGTAGTGGTGTTTGCCTGCAGGTATGTCTATGCACCAGGTGCATGCAGTGCCTGAGAACAGAAGAGGGAGTCAGATCCCTTGGAACTAGAATTCTAGGTGGTCGTGGGTCACTGTGTAGGCACTGGGAACAGAACCTGGGTCCTCTGCAAGAGCACTCAACACTCAACTTCTCGGCCTGGTGCCTGACTTTTAAAAAGATTGTGTGATTTAGGGATGGGTGCACGTCTCTTCTGTATCTTAAGATCTCTGAGATCTTGCCTTTTGCAGAGTGAACACTCAGTATCCATTTGTTAATAATGATTGTTCTTTAGCTTCAGCTCCCAAATTCATATTCTCCTGTATCTAAAATTGGCTCCCATTGATAACTTCCTTGTTCCCTCTAATTTCCTTTTCCAAAACATTTCTTCCATTTATTACTTCTCTTTGCTAATACCCTAGCAAAATTTAATTCCCACTGTCTTTCCTTTAGAATTTTATCCCGAACATTTCTCTTCCAGCCCATCAAATGATTATAAATGTGCCAATTTTACTGCATCCTCTTGCTAAAACTCCAGTCACGAGGCACGATGGCCTGCTGCTCACCAAGTTCTTTCCTAGTAACCCTTCTCTGTTTTCTGAGATAGGGTCTCACTCCGGAACACAGCTGGCCTGAAACTTGGCACAATTTTCCTGCCTCAGACTCCTATGTGCTGGGAACAATCCCTTTCTTATTGTCTGAGTTCAGTACAACATGCTTGTTCTGCATACACTCAGAAGTTAAATGGCCTTTAACAATAGGCCATTTGTTTTCTCTTCATTCAAGCTTGTGCTCAATTTTATCCAGTCACAACCTCTCTGTTCTCCAACCATCCATCATGATCTCACCTATGATATGAGATCCTGGGAAATCTCACACAAGGGAATTTTCTTTTTCTTTTCTTTCTTTTTTCACTTTGTTTGCTTTTGAGACAGGGTCTCACGATGTATCTCAGACTGGCTTCAAACTTGCAACCCTCCAGCCTCAGCCTTCTAAGTGCTTGTATTAAGATGTACCACCACATCCTGCCCAACTCCAAATCTTTACTAGTCCTTCTTGTGGAATATTATTTTAAGGTGTGTTGCTTTTGTTTATGTTGTATTTGTTTAACTCTGTGAAACTGTAATTCTTTGCCTGTCTAAAACACCTGATGGTCCTAATAAAGAGCTGAACGACCAATAGCAAGGCAGGAGCAAGGATAGGCAGGATTGGCAGGCAGAGAGGATAAATGAAAGGAAAACTGCAGAGAGGAGGAGGACCTCAGGGGCCAGCCGCGCAGCCAGCCATGGAGTAAGAGTGAAAGGAAGATTCACAGAAGTAAGGAAAGGGAAAAGCCCAGAGGCAAAAGGTGGGGGGGGGGGAGATAATTTAAGTTAGAAAAGCTGGCTAGAAACAAGCCAAGTTAAGGCCGGGCATTCACAAGATGTCTCTGTGTATTTATTTGGGAGCTGGGTGGAGGGCCCCTCAAAGAGTAAAAGAGTAAAAAACAACAATTCCTCCTCTCTCTCCATCTGAAACCTTAGAAGGTTTCCTTAGAAAAATCTTAGGAGCTCACATCAGCTACCAAAGAACCAAAGAATTCCATTTCTCTCTTCAGTCCTGGCATTTGTATGTTGGCACAGTGCATGGCACATAACATACCATTTTAGACTTAGTGGCAGACACACCATATATTTCCTGACTTGACTTTATTGCACTTAGAGTTTTATTTAGAGACACCTAAAAATGCTCCCATATTCCTGTAGTCCTTAACTTCTGAACCCACATGCACTAGCCAAAGCTTTGGGTCCTGAGAATGACAAGTGCCCCTTCCCCCAGTGGCTCAAGGCCTGCCATCCAGACCACAGAGGGAAGACATGACTGCTCAGACACAATGGGCCTCTTGGTGAATAGGAAAATCAAAGCATGCCATAAATCCCACTCCGCTCGCTCTGAAATGCCTCGTTCACGTCAGGCTGCAGAATGACAGTGCTGTCGGTCTGGCCAGCGCTCACGAACTGGACAATAGGGCTTGTTTTCCTGTCTATTCTAACAGCGGTTTTGATGGGCTTTGTTTCCGGAAAGACCGTAGCTCTGCTGCTTATTCATCGACCATAAAGGAGTTCTCAGGACAAAACAAGACACACACAAATTCCATGGCACTCTAATTCAACACCCCCCCCTTGCATTTTTTGATTTTGTCATTTGTTTCTCCCCTTACTTGGTGACTATCTTTATTTTATAGGCCTAACTGTCCCTGGGGTGGGTCTGTTGTGGTTCCTCTGGTTTTTGTTATAAAAAAAATCTCTTGTTTTAAATAGTCAAGCAAGCTATCTCCCTGGAGTCCTGAGTTATTCTTCAGCAGTTCTAGACTTCAGAAACACCAACATAAAGAATTCCTGGAATGGTGGGGCCAGGTTTAGGAACAGGAAAGAAGAAACTGCGGTGACCCTTGGGGTCAAATGTGACTACTCCCAGCCATACTGCTTGTTTCTTTGGATGGAATTTTTCTTCGAACAGGAAGTGGATTGGAAGTGAGATTACAGGAAGGAATGCAGGTCTTGTTAGACTCTGATACGAGCGGTCTGGCTCTGCAGGGTTCGCTCCCCCCTTGACTCCACTCCTGGCACTAGCGGCCCCAAGGGACTATGCTTTATGCAGATCATGTATTTTCTTTTGGTTCCTTATACTAACACTTCATCCCATGGCATTGAAATTTAAGGTACTTGTGCGTCAACTGATAAAGATCAGAGACTTATTTATAAATTATCATTTATGCTATTGGCCTTTTGAGAGGAGGTTGCCTAGAAGGGCTAGGTGTAGACAGCCATAAGCACTATGTGTTATACGAGGATGACGGGTGACATCCCATAATATACAGTCCTTTCTTGTTTGCTCTTAATCTCCTGATCTTTTTGTCTTTCCCTTGACATATTCTTTTCCTTTTCTTCCTTCCTTTCCCACTTTCTCTTCACTTTTTGTTTCTCTCTCTCTCTCTTTTGATAGTTGGTGACTCCAGACACTAATTCTGACTCTTCTAGAAGACAGATTTGTTTCTGAACCCATAACACAAAGAACAGTCCAAACCAATTGGGTAGCTTCAGGAAAGGGGGGAAGGGTGACACCTGCTGGAAGAATTACTGATGACTCCACTTCCAGGTAGACTCTCTGGGGAAACATCGGCCCAAACCAGCTTGGCAGAAGGGAAGGCACAGCAGGGCCTCGGAAACTTCAGAGTGCCTCTCCCTGCCTGGTTTACATTATAACCTCATTGGTCCTAACAGCTACCCTGGAGATGTGGCTCAGTGAAGATTGCTTCTGTGTCTACTGTGCTCCCAGCCAGGTTCAGCCTCCAACACTGAAACAAACAAGCGGCCACGCTGCTCACATCCTGTGTGTGGCTCGCAGAGACACCGACAGGCTCTTGTCCTTCTCCCCTCCTACCTGGGGAGGCCTGCCCTGGGCTCAAGACCACCTTGAGACAGCTGTGAGTGAGGACAAAGATCCTGCTATAAGCTCCAGTCTAGTTGCACTGTCTTCCCAACCCTGGATAGCAAGAAGTCTACAAACCAGAGGGAAAGGCAAAGACTAACATGCAAGAAACTCCCAAGACAGGTCTTAAGGATGAACATCCAGAAAAAAAAATCCAATATTCTTTTCCTCTCACTGACTAGGGGCTACAGAAGTTTGCTAGGTCTGGTTCCCCACCATTTGTGCATGCGTGCGTGTGTGCATACATGTGTGTGTGTGTGTGTGTGTGTAAGAATTAAGCTTGTGTCTTCAGCATCATACTAAAAGAACAGTTAAAATACAAACACAACTTGTAAGCTCTATTGTGATATGTTGACTGGGACGTCACAAAACTGGGTGGGTCACAAGCCTCAGGCTGCAGCACTATTGGTCCATCTCTGTGTTTATGTAGAAGGGCGTGGGCTTAACCAGGTGGACCTGTGGAAATGATTTCCTATCCATCTTTGGAAGTCCGTGCCTGTTAGAGCGGAGTATCCTGGCGATGTGCTAGTGCCATCTGTTTAAATCGGTCCCTTTTAAACTGGTTCTCACGAGAACTTCTACACTGCCCGATGGAGGCACGGAAATGGGGTGGTCTTGCGTGTCTCGGTGGTAACATCAAAGTTACTGCTTCCCTATTGCATATTAGTAAGTACCAATGTTGTCAGAAAAATCATACAAGGTAGACTTTCTGGAGATGAGATTAGCACTGTCTAAAATGTCCACAGCACTGGGGAGACAGAGGTAGGTGGAACAGCACTGGGGAGACAGAGGTAGGTGGATCACCTCTGTGAGTTTGAGGCCAGCCTGACCTATATATGAAGTTCCAAGCCAGTCAGGTATATACAGTAAGAACCTGTCTCAAAAAAATTACAAGTAATCTAAATCAATAAAAGAATACCTGAGAAAATCCCATGAAAATGATCAAGCCCTACTAACACAAGGCCTTGCTCTCAGCCGCCGCATTCCATCAGTGGTGCAGACTTCAGAGAGGACTCTCCAGTGAAAACATCTCTAAAGACCCTGGCTCAAGATTCTTGGATCTCTGATGCGCTCTTACCTCGATGGAGAGAAAGACTGTTCAGCTCCCGAGATGTGAATTCGCAGGTGCAAACAAACAGACTCTCACCCTCCTTCAGACTGGGGATCGTCACAACCTCCACAAAACTGCTGGGAAACTGTCCTGAAAGACAGACACACACATGTTAAACACTGAGTGCTCTTATAATATTAAATTTTCTCTCTCTGTCTGTATACAAGGACAACTTCTTTCTGAGTTCATTTACCAATTCTGAATTAAAATTGACCTAATGCTAATAATTAGAGAATTTACTATAGAAGTGCATAGCACAGAACGAGATATATACAGAGGACAGAGAATACAATTTAAAAGCATTTATTGGGCCAGTGAGAGGGTTCAGCGGGCAAAGGCACTGCTGCCGTGCTTGACAACCTGAGTCAGACTCCCAGGTCCCTATGGTACAAGGAGAGAAATGAATCCTGCAAGCTGTCCTGTGCTCTCCACATACACACAACACCTAAGTAAGCGTTAACCACTGGCACTCTAGCAGGTTCACTGAAGAGGGAAATGTGAGTGGGGTTGTCCAGGTCTTCAGAGATCTGAAAATCTACTTAGACAAAAAAGATAATGAAATCCTGAAACCCAAATCACACCAGCTATGCACTGGGCCATGGAGGTTCAGAGGAGGCTGGGAGGAACACAGGTGGGATTTTTTGTTTGTTTGTTTTGTTTGTTTTTGTTTTTTGCTTTTTTGTTTTGTTTGTTTGGTTTTTTGAGATAAGGTTTCTCTGTAGCTTTGGAGCCTGTCCTGGAACTCATTCTTAGGCCAGGCTGGCCTCAAACTCAAAGAGATCTGCCTGTGTCTGTCTCCCGAGTGCTGGGATCAAAGGCATGTGCCACCACCACTGCCCAGCTTGAACACAAGATTTTTATGAAGCAGAGCGTTCAGTCTGAGATGGGTAGAGTTTTAGAGGTGGTGTAGGAAGACAGGACCTGACAGCTGGAGGAGAACAACAGATGTTTCCCGAATCTGCCCACATATCTCCAGACCTGCCTCTGCCTCTCAAGTGCTGGGATTAAAGGCATGCGCCACCAGGGCCCAGCCTATCATTCTTTTTAATTATTGCTTTATTGTGTGTGTGTGTGTGTGTGTGTGTGTGTGTGTTGTCTGCGTGTTTGTCTGTACACCATGTGCAGGCCAGAAGAGGGCATCGGCTCCTCTGAAACTAGAGTTAGACTGTTGCGAGTTGCTATGTGATGCTAGGAATCGAACCCAGAACCTCTGGAAGGGCAGACAGTCTCTTTAACCACCCAGCCATCTCTCCAGGCCCTCACCCCATCATTCTTAAAATAACAGCAGCAGCATTTATAAGACACAGCTCTGATGATGTCAAAAGCACCACAGTTTCTGGCCTCCTCAACTTCTTACTTCACACACTTTTGTCCTCTGGACCCCGCAGCCACTTGGTGCTCTACCCATGCTTCCTCAGTGCTCCCGTGTTCACGTACATGTCAGGGCCACTGAGCAAACAATCCTCTCTACAAACACCCCCTCCCCGGTTGTTTTTTTTTTTTTTTTTTTTTTTTGGTTTTTCGAGACAGGGTTTCTCTGTGGCTTTGGAGCCTGTCCTGGAACTCGCTCTGTAGACCAGGCTGGTCTCGAACTCACAGAGATCCGCCTGCCTCTGCCTACCGAGTGCTGGGATTAAAGGCGTGTGCCACCATCGCCCGGCTCCCCTCCCCGGTTTTATCTGACCAGAAACATCACTTCTACTAGACTATAGTCTGTGAATTCCCCAAAGTTGGTAAGCGTTCTGAGCACCTACTCAGAACTACACCATACACTCCAAGCCACATGCACACAAACACATGTAAATTAAGAACTAACTGAGTCTAACTGTGTGATGTGTCATGAAAGGTCTGCCATACCCCAGGGTAGTTAATGGAAGAAACCATGGCAACAGGAATCTCAGAAACAGAAGGAGGATAGCCAGAAGCACAAACGTGTGAGACAGGAGCATCCAGGACAGAGGGTGGCTTTAATTAACTGTTCCCAATGCAGATCTAGGAAGGACTCACCTGAAGAGAATGGAAGATGGAACAGGAACTGTTGAAGGAGGAATGAGGTGGAGCATACTTACATCCCACTCACCAAGGCAGGCCTGCTGCCAAGAGCGATGGTAAAGGGCAAGCGTTCCGAAGAGAGGTATAAGGTACGATTTGAGGAGGGAATAAGAGCACTGGACATGGAAGACTGAGCATTGGGAAGGGAAAGGAAAGGCAGGCAGAAAAACTAGGCTGGGGCAGAAGTGCCCACCCATCCAGCCTCCACAAGGAATCAATACGGAGAGATGGGCAATGGTAGAAACTCTCCTCACAGGCCAGAGCAATGGTGAGCACAGAAGGAAGACATGGCAGAAGGGCAGTAACTCACTTGGGCTTCCCATTTGGCTTTACCTTTAATATGCAAAGAAGCGAGGGGCCGTGTGTGGAAGGAGTATCTCTTACCTGTAACATCTTCCTTCTTTCCCAGAAGCCAAAACTCATCCACCACGGCCAACACCTCAATGACATCTCCCACGAAGAGCGGCAGTTCCTCTGAGACGCTAGGGCAGAAGTCAAAGATGGCTCGGACCACAGAGCCAGCCTCCATACTGCACAACCTGGAAGCCAAAGCATGAGAAAACACAGATATTTCAGATGCACCAGAGACCTGCTTCTTAAAAACCTAAAACTCAAATTATGAAGAAAATATAAACACGATAGAAAATATATAAAATCTAAAGTTGTTCCTTTAAAAATAATGATTTCCTCATGTATTTTAATTAGCTTCTTCTCAGTGTGAGTCTAGAATTGGAAACAAACAACAAAACACTAACAACTGACCCAGACCATAGAGATAAAAGACGGGGAAGGCAGGCCTTAAAGTGCCGCGAGAGGGAGGTGAGGCTACTGACATTTTACCATGATTAAAGTTCTAGACAATGTAGTACTTTCAAAATACAGTATTTAACCCAGAAACTTTACATTACACACAGCATGTCATCTATTTCCCACCACAATTGTGAGACCAGGATGATGGCACTCTACGTGGTTAGATAATCTAATTTGTCCAAGGACACAGTGCAACAGGGACAGGACTCAAACACCAAGATTTAAAACCCACAGAAAAACAGAAGGAAGTCAATGAAGAGAATGAGAAAGGGCCAGAGATGGTGTCTCTAGGGGACATTTAATACCAGCAGATCAAGCATTTGATTCTGGTTTGGAGACGCCTGTGCTCCAACCTGCACTGTTGTGGGACTACACTGCAATGCATGATGGGTCCATTGCCCTGGTGTATGGGGCTGGAGAGCTAAGAATGTGTCTACACACTAGAAAATAAGGGCACAAGAGGTATGTGTGTGTTCACTCAGAAAGGCTCAGCCATGATCAGACCGACATTCCCCAAATGCCTTCCCAGGGGCTGCACAGGGGGCAGCTCCAGCTCTCCAGGCTCCTCAAAGACTCATTCAGTGTTGCTGAAGGTGGAGATTTTTTTTTCTTCTCACATATGACTAGCCTCATTGAAAAGCACCAAGACAGGCTCAGCTGATAAAGGTGACTGTCTCCAAGCCTGACAAACAGAGTTTGATTCCCAGGACCTATGACAGGAGAGAGAAGCAGGGGCTGGAGGGAGAGCTCAGCAGTTAAGAGTACTTACTGCTCTTCTAGGGGACATGAGTTTGGTTGCCAGCATCCATGTCAGGTGACTCACAACTGCCTATAATTCTAGCTCATGGGAATCCAAACAAAATCCTCTTCTGGCCTCTGAGGGCAACCACATATACATGGTTCACACACACACACGCACGAATTAAATAAGTACATATAAATATTTAAAAAGAACCAAATGCCTAATGGAAAGAAAGACAGCTATAACTGTGGTTTATGACTTTCACTGGTGTGAAAAGAACGAAGGAAGTATCGAATAAATACCTCAGCATATTGATTTTTTTTAACCATGCTCAATAATTAAACATTACACATTTGGTCAAAGTAGCTTATTCTTGTATCACTGGGATTTTTTCCGTAATGAGATGACTGGGGCCACAGTAAAAGGAGAAGTGGCCCCTGCACTCCTCGCCCCCTTATACCACAGGATTTCTGCTTTCGCTTTCCCTTCCATGGTGCTTTGCATAGAACCCGGGGCCTCACGCATCCCACACAAGTGTTCTACTACTGAGCATCTATTAAAACCATCTAATTAGCTGTGCCTAACTCCAGCACTCCAGGGGCAGAGAGACAAGCAGGTCTCTGTGAGTTGGATATCAGACTGCTCTATATGATGAGCTCTAGGTAAGCCAGGGCTACATAGTGAGGACCTGTTTAAAACAAACAGACAAAAAAGAAAACCAAACAAACCCAAAACCAAATCTAGTATTTATATAAATATACTTTGAAGAGATAGCATAGTGTGCACGTAAAACACCAGGCTCCTGCCGTGACAGAGGGCGGCATTCAAGCCCCAGCTTTACGACTTTGCCTGCACACATCTCTGACTCTCAGGTCTTCTGTTTCCACGACCTGAGAGATGAAGATATTAATACGCTCACAGTGATCGTCATGAGGATGACTACAGTGATAAAGATCAGTGACAACATCTACACAGTGCTTCCTCATGCCACGCACTATACCGTGTTCCACATCAATGAGTCCTCACAATGACGTGTATCATCGGTTCCCATTGGGCAGATGAGGAACAGGTTCAAAGAAGTGATAAATTCTAAGGCCACACAGGAAGTCAGGGACAGAATGGGAATTCAAACGTCTGTCACCAAAGCCTCGCTGTACGAATGTGCCGAGGACATGACGGGCACAGTAGCTTCTCAATAAACATTAGTGTCTACTATAAGTCACTTCCACAATTAACGACAAGTTCAAATCTGTGCCACTGATCACCAAAGAATGTACTGTCTTCAAGCAGATAGACACTTCAATACGTCCTATTTCAACATGGTTAATTTAACTTTGACCATGTTTAAGAACAAGCACATGGGGTGGAGTATGATGGTACATGCCCATGAATCCCAGAACTCAGGAGGCTGAGACTGGAGAACTTTGAGACCTAGATCAGCCTGGACTATGCAGTCAGATCTTGTCTGAGTCTTTCTGACATCTCCCAAAGAAGACACCAAATGAACATGGCTTACCTCAGACTTCCAGAAGCAAGTTCATTCCTGCAGCCATACAGCCCTGCGCTGACTTAACCATAGCCGCCGTCCTCTACGGTTACAAGCCCCCAGGCCTTCCTCCTGTGGCGCCAGCCTGCTCTGCTTTCAGCTCATCTCCTTCATTGGTTTCATTTTTTAAAATAAATTTATCTATTTTTATTTTACGCATATGGGTGTTTTGCCTATATGTGTGTCTGGCACCTACTAGAAGAGGATGTCGGATCCCCTGGAACTGGGGTTACAGATGGTTGTGAGCAGCCATGTGGTGCTGGGAACTGACACTGGGTTCTCCAGAAGAGCAGCCAGTGCTCTGAACCAGCAAATTATCTTTTCAGCCACCTCACCCTCTAATCAGTTTTTCCATTCTTTTTTAATTTTATTTTTTTTTTGAGACAGAGTCTTACTGTGTAGCCCATGCTGGAACTTGCTATGTAGACAAGGCTGACCTTGAACATACAGAGATCCACCTGCTTCTGCCTCCCAAATGTTGGGACTAAAGGTGCCACCATATCCAATTCAATCCACTTTCTAGTTCGCTGTTTACAACCCATAGCATCAACATTGCTAAAAGTCCCCAGAAAATAAAAGTAGGTCAACTCTAGAAGGCAGGCTGACTCCTGCAGAGGTAAAGGACGCACATTGGCACTGGAGGCTCCCTACAGCTCTCACGTGCCCCGAGACCCCTTTCTCATTTCTGGCTGTCTTCCAGGCATCTGAAGTTACCAGATGTCAGACTTCTGCATAAGGGTAGTGTCTAAGAATTTTTTGAAAACAGAAAACCAAGCATTTGACAAATCTCTTAACCATCTACGTTATTAAAATAAGTCCTCAGGGTTGGATCAAGATGGACATAATTTTCCGATACATTTTGTCAAAGCTCTCAGTGTCCAACTGATTGTGCAGCTTGCTCACTGAACTGTTAGGACACAGCCTCAGACCCAGGGATTCCTTGCACTTTAGTCCTGCAAGCTGATGGAGTTAGGCGTTCTTCCTGGCACCTTGTCACGCTGCTGGAAAATGACTCACTCGCAGAGAACCTGGTTCAATAAAGTCTTTACTAACCGACCTCCCACTCTGCTGGAATGAGTGTGTAATCCCAAGAGACACACCCTGGAAGGGTGCAAGAGTCACAGCCTCCATGATTCATGTGTGCAAAGGTAGGGTCGATGTCTCCCACTTTATGCAGGTGATGGACTCATCTGGAATTGCCCTGCCCTGTACACTCTCTGAGAAGCACCGGTCGCCATCCGCGCTGGGGCCATTATAGAAACCCAAGGGTACACTTCAAAGCTTAATTAGTGGCTTCTGTAAGCTGTTCCAACTCCAGATGGAAGTTCACAGAAGAAACTACAGGACAGATGGGCTGTGGGAAAGCTGGGGAAATTATTGTCTAATACAGCATGGTGTCAGGGACATCCAAAAGATGCCGAACGCCACCCCTTTCTACTGGTGAACACCTGTTTCCTCCTCTGAAGAGGTGCTCTGTGTGTCAAATATAAAGATCCTGGGAAAGGTGATTCTCCAAACCCTTTAGGAAGGGGAAGTCTGTGAAGGAAGAGCTTGTGTCTTTGCCTGAGGATCTGCAGCGATGCCAGTGTGGGAAAGCTTAAGTGACTGGTGGACCTGGTGGAAATATCTGAAATACTCATATCTGGGCCACAGTTCTGCCCGCCTAAAGGTAAACCAACCATCTCAGGCATAAACAGCTTCAGTCTCCAGTTTGTCTGAGTTTGACCCGGGAGTGGCGTGAGCCCTCCATGTTGAGCATGGGTAGCCCAGCTTCTTGGCTCTGAACAGCCTAAAGGACACTAAGAACAGCTACTATCTGAGAACCCACCACGCCACATGTGCCAGGAGCCTGCACCAATCACTGCACCGTGGGCAGCAAGGCTCAAATCCAGGCACCACACCTTAGCAATCCACCCAAATTCGACAGCTAGCAAACAGCTAACCCAGAAGCAGAGCTCAAGCCCGGGGCTGCTAGGCTCATGGTCTTACTGAAAACATTGCTGTTCTTAGATCACAGCAGTCTTTCCTTCAAACCCACTGGACCATCACTTTCCTCCTTGGTTTTATCAACATTGTCGGGAAAATTGTTAAGCGTGGAGATAGACAGAATTTTATGCTCACCACCGTAATTGTAGCATGACATCTGACCCCAGGGACTTTATCACAGATTCTAGCCCTTTATCAGATGATATTTTCATAGATTGCAAAAGGAAAATATTAAAGAAATGCCCACCAAACTTGGGCATACATGTCTTAACCATAATTCATTGCTGTTATTTTTAATTTTTAAAAGTTTTATTATCTCTTTTTTAGATACATCAAGCTCTTAACTTGGTAGCTTAGGCTGGTCTTGAACTCATGGCAATCCATTTGCCTTGGTCTTCCCAGTTACAGGCATATGCCACCATACCCAGCTCTATATTTGTTTATCAATTTGTTTA